TCACCATTTTAGATTTGATTCTGACTCACACGGAAGAATTGATTGCAAATCTGAAGGTGGAAGGCAATTTGGGTGAAAGTGATCATGAAATGATAGATTTCATTATTGTGAAAAAAAGGAAGGAGGGAGAGCAACACAATAAGGACAATGTACTTCAAAAAAAGCAAACTTTCACAAACTCCCGAGAACTTGTAGGTAAGCTCCCATGCAAAGAAAATCTAAGGGAAAAAGGACTTTAGAAGAGCTGACAGTTTCTACAAGTGACAATATTAAAGGCACAACAGCAAACTATCCCCACATGAAGGAAAGATAGAAGACTTGTAAGAGACCAATATGGCTCCATCAGGTGCTTTTTAAGGACATGAACATCAAAAAGAAACCCTACAAAAGAAGAGGCATGGACAATTGCTAAGCAGGAGAACAAAAGAATAGCACAAGCATGTGGGGACAAAATCAGAAAGGCCAAAGCACAAAATGAGTTGCACTTAGCAAGGAACACAAAAGGCAATAAGAAGAAATTATTTAAATACATTTAGGAGTAAGAGAAAGATGAAGAAAAGTAGAAGTCCTCTCCTTAGTGGGGAAGGAAAGCTAATAATTGATGACATGACAAAGGCTGGGGTGTTTTATTTTGAGGTGCCTATTTTTTATATATATAGATATAGATGGAGATATACCTATCTCATAGAACTGGAAGGGACCCCGAAAGGTTGAGTCCAGCCCCCTGTCTTCATTAGCAGGACCAAGTACTGATTTTGCCCTAGATCCCTAAGTGGCCCCCTCAAGGATCAAACTCACAACCCTGGGTTTAGCAGGCCAATGCTCAAACCACTGAGCTATCCCTCTTCCCTTTTTGCTTCAGTCTTCACTAAAAAGGTTAATGGTGACCAGATATTCAACACAATATTAACAAAGAGGGAAGGAATGCATGCTAAAGTAGGGAAAGTACAAGTTAAAGAATATATTGATGAAATGGGTGTATTCAAATGGGCAGGGCCTGATGAAATTCATCCTAGGGTATTTAAGGAACTAACTGAAACTCTCCCGGAACGGTTAGCAATTATCTTAGAGAACTTCTGGAGGAGAGGTGAGGTCCCAGACCACTGGAGAAGGGCAAACGTACAAAGAGGAACAAAAAGAACCCAAGGAATTACAGACTAGTCAGCCTACCTTTGATACCTGGAAAGATACAGGAACAAAATTATTACACAATCAATTTGTAAGTACCTAGAGGATGATAGGGTTATAAGGAATAGTTAGCATGGACTTGCCAAGAACAAACAATGCCAAACCAACCTAATTACCTTCTTTGACAGGGTTGCTGGCGTAATGGATAGGGGTGCGGAAGGGAGCATTAGACATGGTATATCTTGATTTTAAATAAGCCTTCTGAGACAGTCCCACATATCATTCTCAAACAAACTAGGGAGATGTGGTCTAGATGAAATTATTCTAAGGTGGGTGCACAACTGGTTGAAAGACAGTACTCAAAGAATAATTATCAATGGTTCGCTATCTGGTGTATCTAATGAAAACATTGAATAGTACCGGATCCCTGTGAGACCCCATTATTGGACTTAAAATTTGCAGATGACACCAACCGACAATAGGTTGCAAGCACTTTGGAGGATAGGATTAGAATTAAAAATGACCTTGACAAACTGGAGAATTGATCTGAAACAAGATGAAATTCAATATAGACAAATGCAAAATACTTCACTTAGGAAGGAAAAAAATCAAATGCACAACTACAAAATGGTGAATAACTGGCTTAGGTGCTAGTACTGCTGAAAAGAACCTGGGGTTATACTAGATCACAAATAGAATATGAATCAACAATGTGCGCAGTTGCAAAAAAGGCTAATATTCTGGGATGTATTAACAGGAATGTCATATGTAAGACAAGAAGTAACTGTCCTGCTCTACTAGGCACGGGTGAGGTACTGTGTCCAATTCTGGGGCCACACTTTAGGAAAGATCTGGACAAATTACAGAGTGTCCAGAGGAGAATGATAAAAGGTTTAGAAAACCTGACTTAAGAAGACAGGTTAAAAAAACTGAGAAAAGAAGATTGTTATCAACCCTCTCACACCAATCTTCCAATATGTTAAGGAATGTTATGAAGAAGACAGTGATCAATTGTTCTCCATGTCCACTGAGGGCAGGACAAGTAGTAATGGGTTTAATCTGCAGCAAGAGAGATTTAGGTTGGGTAGCAGGAAAAACATTTTAACTATAAGAGTAGTTAAGCTCTGGGATAGGCTTCCAAAGGAGGTTGTGGAATAGCCATCATTGGAGGATTTTAAGAGCAGGTCGGACAAACACCTGTAAGGGATGGCTTAGGTTTACTCGGTCCTGCCTCAGTGCATACTTGATACTTCTTGAGGTCCCTTCCAGCCCTACATTTCTATGATTCTATGGGGAGGTTTATTAAAAAAAAAAAAGGCCACATCTCAAGGAATTCTAGTAGCTTTCAGCATAAGCATTTCAGTTTAAGTACTTTTGGGATGCAAATGCTGTAAATTAAGGCAAAAAACATTAGTCACGTTAGAGATACAACTAGATACACTACACTCTATTGGATATTTAGCACCACTCCCTTTTCTTTTAGGCCTCCTGGGAAGACAGTACAAAGCCCAAAATAGTTTTAAGGGCTTTAAAAAACAACTGAACTTGAAAAACCCAAAGTACTTAATGATGAGTATGGGGCAATCAGTGACGTTCTCTAAATGTTTTAGAAACATTTGAAAATGTTTTGTTCCAGTTGTAGAAGTCTATACACCGACTTCTACAATACCCCAGGATCCTGTCTTTGCTACTCTGGAATTCAAAGCAATACCACTATTACATGAACTATTAATTGACTTAGGAGCATGAGGTGAATACAGTTCATACCCATTTTCTGCTTTCCTTTTTAAAGAATCCTGCTCTTTTAGAAGTGTTTGATGTTCATCATAGGCATCCAAAAGCCTGGGTGAAAAAAAAAAAATCACAAACACACCCCACAAACTTTGTTTAGCATGCATGTTACATTTTCAAAACATGTCAGTACAGCCTGTAAATAATTAGGCTACCAACCTGTACCTCTTCCATCCATTGTCAAAGGATGTTGTATAGTGACAATTATTAAGTATGTCTATTTCAGACAGTAAAAATTCTGTATTACCATGAAACTAGGCAAAGGTAAACTAATTTCTGAAATTGAATTAAGACCAAAAGATTAAAGCTATCCACTATGACGTGAGGAAGACCAAAAAGCTTGCTAGTTTGAATGATTTTCATAATGCACAGCATATATTCAAAGTGTGTGTTAATATAGTGAAGAACAACATTTTCAGTGGCATGTGAAGACATTTTCCCCCCACAAAAATACCAACCTACCATTAGTTACAGTTGTGTTTATATTAAGCATTTATACTGCACCATAAATGTACATGGTGTTTTACATGTGTTGCTATAATTCATATCAATATCTAAAGACCTTTCACAAGTAGTATGAAAAATAGAGGAATTCTGTGCTGCATGAAGAGCTAGATAGCTATCAAGTAACAGTGTATAAAGCAGCCCATCTCTCAATACGTTCAGTAACAATTTGTATGTTTCCTAGATATTTCATTTAATATAGGCGCAGCTGCTGGTTCAGATTCCTCTTACTACTGCAGTTCAAAAGGTGACAGACCAAAACTGCTGCTTCCATCAGCCATCTCCTTTGACACAAGGAGGTCTGGAGTTCCATCCCCGTTCTTTTCGTTCTGCACATCTCAGATATTTTGTCCTGCAGCACCATATCAGAACCTAAAAGCTTGCTTTCTCTTAGCCAATTTCCTTCCTGGAAGTTACATGCATAGTTCCCATGAAAGTCAGTGCATATCAGAAGGCAGAATTTTACCATCGGCTATTATTAGCAACGTGCAATGCAGAAAAGCTAACTTATGGCTTGGAAAATCCAAGCCAAAAAACAGGAAAATTACACTTTATGGTAATACTGAGAATAAAGAGAATAAAAAATATTTAATTAAAAGTTGCATTTGTGTAAATGTCCGATGCCCAGAGAAAGCTGCTCAATGCAGAGCACACAATTAGAAAGCCTGTGATTTCTGAACACATTAATGATACTAGTCCTCAAGGATAAGCCAAGTTAGGGCAAGTTTGAAAATTTAAGATGTGTAGTTGTGGGTGAAGTTAGAGTACAAAAAAAAAGCAAACACTTTTCTTCGTGTCCTCTTTCAAGAATATCCCCCACTATAAAGCCAAGACACAGCTTTCGAACAAAAAGAAACACTCTTGAGCTGAGAACAAGCATGAGACAAAATGACAGCTTTTCCAGAAAGTTGATAATACTTGAAAATAGGAACTTGGTATGAATTTGTCTGTCTTCAACTCTAACAGTGTCATAATTGCAGTGCTAAAATAATAGTTTAAGGAACATGTCTAAATGAAACTCTTCCCCCAAAGTTATAAACAGCACCTCATTTGGTGACCCAATTACAGCCATAGTGTAGGTTAAATCTTACTTGTTGACGTCAGAACCAAAATCTTCCAGAAATTCCACTTTTCGTTGAGAAAATGTAATCCTCATTTTTATAGACAATGCACCATTGACAGCTTTGTCAAAACATGTGAGGATGTTTTCTTCATTTTGCTTAAGATCCCCACTATACTCCATTTCAAGTAAGTTGAGATACAATTTAGTGTTCTCCTGTGCAAAAAAAAGTTACAGCGATTGTTGTAAAATAGTGTTTGCCCAAGTACATCTCCAGCACTTCTTTCTAATAAGTTCAACAGCTATGCGCACCAGTGTCCTACGTTGTAAACAGATGTTATAGTGTAGTCAATAGAAAGGTTTCCTGTCCGAAAGTGTAAACATAGGTGCTCTTTGACCTGTGTCATTTTATAAATAGATGCACATGGTCTACAGTACATCTGAGGGTATGTGTATCCTTGTGATTAGCATGAGGGCTCGAAGACCAAGCAGTTCTGACGCCCAAATAAAGTGATCCCTGCACTAATACGACCAATGGTATTTAATAAATTACTTCCATGCAATATCAGCATCCGTGCATTGTGATTTTTGAAAGGGAGCAGGACAGAGAAAAACAACGATGTCTCAGAACACTAGGGGAATCATGGATGCTATCTGAAGGGTGAAAAAGGCAAGATTCATAACCTGCAAATCTGGCAACATCAGCTTAGAGGGACTGGTGTCTCCATGTGCAATAAAATGCTTTACATACAGTCTGAAAACCTGTCATCATTGTTGCCACGTTTTAATGCACTGACTAAAAGGAGGAGGAAATTAAATATCACAGGACTATTTATAAAGCTTTTAGGAAACACATACTTTGTCTTTCTCAATGGCTTCCAATAGCACTTTTCTTGCTTTTGGAAGGTTCTTCTGAACTTTGAAAAGATGTCGAGCTAGTTTGATGGCATAAAATGATGATTCACCGCTTGATTTAGCATTCTTAACAGCTTCCTGAAGCAGGTGTTCAGCTTCTTCCATGTTTCCATGTCGGCGTTCTAAGCTAACTCTTCGCAAGCGAACCATTGCAAGTCCCAGAACACACTCTTCAAATGTTTTCAAAATTCTTCTTGCTTCATTGATGTTCCCTAAAAACGTTGGGTAAGTATTTAATGCAGACACCATGCATCCATCAACTCTTGAAAAAAAGAAAAAATCACTGCCAGCAACAATCCAAAGGCTAATTTAACTAGAAAAGCCTCACTAACTTGGCTCTTACCCTGCTGTTCTTCAAAGGCAGCCCATAGCATATGAACCATTGGTTTCTTAGGAAGGTGTATTGTACAGGCCCTGCTGTAGACATGTCTCACTCCTTCAATACTGTGATTCTCCATATACTTGGCATACTACATTTGAAAACAGAGTATAGATTGAATAATTTAAAGCTTATTTTTGGTCTTTAAATACATGACAGAACGATAAAATTCTTTTGTTTAAACCCATTCAGCACCTTTATTGAACCACTAGACTAGTTTCTGTAAGGAAGGACGTAGAGAGGCAACGAAGTTGGCATATGCAGCAGTCAAATCTGGTTGCAAGCAGACCATCTCCTAATGCAACAGATATAGTTATATATGAACAACATTCAACAAGAGTACAAAAGGTTAGTCACTAGATCAATGTTTGCAATCAGTAAGAATTCATTATTAAATCACTTCCCTTACCTTAATCCAGAAGTCCTCATAGAGGGCACATGAAATAACACATCTTTCAAAGAGGACCACAACTCGCTCATGAGTCCCATTTTCTATCTCAAACTCTAAGTATTCTTTCCAGTTTTTCAACTGGGCTTTCTCCAAAGGTTTTACATGGAAGTAAGGTCGTTTTATCTGCAACAGATGAGTAACACTGGAGTCAAATTCAACAACTTAGTCAAAAATACAGAGCAAGATAAACTGTTTGGATGTTACTTTATATTTAATTTATATCACACCCTTTGACTTTTCAGAATAATAATCTTATGTAGGCTATTCAAATAGCCAGGTCTGAATGGACTTCAGGGTATGACTAATTTTAAAGGGATACTCTAATTGCCAATTCAAGTTTGGGCCAAAATCTAGGTCTTGTAAAAACAGCTTTCCCAAAATAATCTTTTTTTTTAAATAAATTACCCACAACAGTAATGCTGTTAGTAATCAATCCTCTGCCTTGTCTGCAAACCAAACATAGCAGCACTGAGAACCTGTAAGGGGGGAGATGATAGAGGTCTATAAAAATCAAGACTGGTGTGGAGAAAATAAATAAGGAATGTTATTTACACCTTCACATAACACAAGAACCAGGGAACACCCAATGAAATTAATATGCAGCAGGTTTAAAACAAACAAAAGGAAGTACTTCTTCACACAACACAGTCAACCTGTGGGACTCATTGCCAGGGTATGCTGTGAAGGCCAAAACTATAGCGGGGTTCAAAAAAGAACTAGATACAGTCATGGAGGATAGGTCCATCAATACGTATGAGCCAACATGATCAGGGAATTAACCCCACGCGCTGTCTGTCCCTAGCCTTTGAATGCCAAAAGCTGGAAGTGGACGACAGGGAATGGATCACTTGACGATTGCTGATTTGTTCATTCCCTCCAAAGACCTGGCATTAGCCCCTGTCTCTAGACAGGATACTGGGCTAGAATGGACCATTGATCTGACCCTGTATGGCCGTTCTTATGTAACAATGTTGATCAGGATCCTCAGATCAGGCATGGCCACTTTGCATGGTATTGCCAGCATATTATGGTCCCAAAAGGAAGCATTCACTCTGGTGCAAGGGTGATCCTGCACTGGTATATAGCGAGCCCTGTATACTATACACCCTCTAAGCTGCTGGCATGGCAAGGAAAGGGGGGACTCATGGTCAGGCCTCCCCTCTGTTTTTTTGAGCCTTTATGGCTACTACAGACCACTGTAAGGTTGTACAGACCTTGCGCTGCTCAAACACAGAACAGAGAACTCGAAAACATGGACTAGAATCCATGCAATGCAAGTAAGAGCTTTAATGCAGCTTTACACACTGCCTGACCTACATTTATTTGCTCTGGAGTACCAGCTCCACTGTTTTGTTCATGATAAACTTGCATTTAAAATAATTTTTTCCCCATAAGACTATAATGACATAAGAGCGGCCATACTGGTTTAGACCAAAGGTCCATCTAGCCCAGTATGCTGTCTTTTGACAGTGGCCAATGCCAGATGCCCCAGGGGGAATGTACAGAACAGATAATCAAGTGATCCATCCTGTCGCCCATTCCCAGCTTCTGGCAAATAGAGGCTAGGGACACCATCCCTGCCCGCGTCACAATGTCCATGTGAAATAATACAACTGCTAGTTTAAAACCAACAGAAAATTGCTGCCAGACAAACAGCAGCAAGACCAGGAACTCCCCATGTCTCCCATTCCCCTCAATGAAACATGAATCTCACAGCCCAATTTGAGACCACTTAAATGCAAACACTAGACATAAGCAAGTTTTTCCTCTTTAAAAACAAAGAAAATTGAAGGCAAGAATAATGTCCTATTATGTTTACATGGTAAATTTATGGAGAATTCAGAAGTTGAAGTTGCAAAAGTAACTCGGCTTCACTGAATATATACAATTTCATATGCTTGCTTAGTTTAATACTGTTTGTTATAAAGCATGTGCAGCACAACATGGGTGTTATTGGATGAATAGTTTTTGCCATTCTGAACTGGAATTTTAGTTGTGAAATTCTAACACAGCAGTATCAGATTTTTGCACCTAGTTGTACTCTTTACAGTTTCTATCTTGGTGACAACTTAATTTTTAAGATACCATTATAAGAAGCTTTTCTTTCTATTGACTAGTTTTAATTCTGTAACATACCACATTTATGAAGTAGTACCCTCCTTTCTTATACATGGTATGAAAGACACTAAATGTAAAGTTTACACTTAGTAAAACGTATTTTCCCCACGTTGCCTCTCTCAAAATAAAACTTAGTACCTACCTCACAGAGCTGCTGTGAGAACTAGTTATTAATGTTGGTATATTTTTTAAAGTACTCTTTTTGAAGATAGAAAAGAGGGTAAAACCATTTATTTGCCCAAAGCTTTACAGTAGTTTAGTCAGAATTAAAACACCAGGAGTTTCTGGTTCCCAGTCCCATGTTCATGCCTTTAGACCACGCTACCTTTCATACAAAAAAGGCTAACACAAGAAAACTTACTCCTTCTTCAAAGGTCCACCTCTTGCTGACTTCATGTTCATTGTGATTGAACATTTCTTGATGAATCTCTTGGATTCTGTGTCTCATGTTTTCTATTTCAGTGATTAGCTAAAGATACATGATAAAAGCAAGTGATTAATACTGATCTGTAAAATATCAAGTTTACAACTGCACTGTATTATTGACGTGATCTGCATAAATTAAAATATGAAAGGTACACTGCTACTTCAGGTGCTGTCCTGAACAAGTGGGATAAAAGTGCACATTGTCTTAGCTCTTAGTGTTATGGACCTGAGTTGGTCTTGGATCCAACGGTCGGCCTCTTAATTTCTGAAGTGATATAAATCTGAGATGCGTCATATCCAAATAGGATTCCATCTTTATTTGGTACAACCCCAAATGGGCACTTCTTTCTAGCTGATTTCATGCTTTTGCATGCCCTTCAAGGAGCATAGATCTGCACAGGCCAGTACTAAATAAATAAAAACTCTCAAAACACGCCGTAACTCTTACCCCATATATTTGAAAGAGTCAACATTCTGCTAAAATTTTATAGATCACTTTTAAGATTAAAATGTTAATTACATTTCTTTCAAACCTATGTAGTGTAAGGGAGATCTCTTCTTGTCTATACAGCCAATCACACACTAACTGCTGCTCTTTGGCTCACATGTAGGAGTTGACACTCTATACTATGGGATCAGCTCAGCCAAAAACATAGTACAGTCCCTGCAAATAAAAGAAAACTCTCCTCTCAGCAGCAGCAGATTGAACAAACATGCAAAGGTGTTCTGCAACCTTGCCTGCACATTTACCTTTGCAGGGTCAGTTATGTCCTCAATTCCAGAAGGAAGGTCATCTCCTGGTGGTGCATCATCCCCACTATGGCCACTGACAGACGCCAATTCCCGGCGCAGCTGAATAAACTGCTCAGGAGTTAGAAGGTCTCGAGGCAAATTATTTTGTACGTGTTCTTTAAACCTGCAAAGAAACAGGATTTGTTCACTTAACAAATGCACAATTTTTACATGTTATATTTTAAAAAATACTCACTTATTCTAAGTTACATGACAAAAGCGAGGAAGTTACTCACCTTGTGCAGTAACAGAGGTTCTTCGAGATGTGTGTCCCTGTGGGTGCTCCACTTTAGGTGTCGTTGCGCCCCTGCACTTGTAGCCAGAGATATAGGATAGCAGTGCCCTGGTTGGGCCGCACATGTACAGTTCCTGTCTCACATTGCTTCAGGCAATTAACTGGTGCTGTGCGACCAACCCCCTTCCCGCCCCCACCCCCATTCCTTCTCTACTGCAGAGTCTGTATATAATAGAACTCCAAAGCAGAGGGGAGGAGGGAGGGTAGTGGAGCACCCACAGGGATACACATCTCGAAGAACCTGTTACTGCACAAGGTGAGTGAGTAACTTCCTCCTCTTCTTCTTCAAGTGGTGTCCCTGTGGGTGCTTTACTTTAGGTGACTTCAGAGCAGTGCCCTCCGGTGGAAGGAGGGGGCTTCGGAGTTGAAGTCGTAGCAGATGAAAACACTGTGACACCAAACAGGGCATCAGAAGATGTGTGTTGTTGCAACGCATAGTGTTGTGTAAAAGTATGCGGTGAGATCCAGGTTGCAGTCCTACAGGTTTCCGCAATAGGGATGTTGTTAAGAAACACTATGGAGGTTGAAAGACTCCTAGTAGAATGCATACGGATCCCAGTAGGGGGTTGTCATTTATACTGGAGATAACAGAGTTGGATAGAGTCTGATATCTATTTGAATAGGCATTGTTTGGAAATAGCGTGCTCTTTAGAGCGTTCGGTGACAGAAACGAATAATTTTGGAGACTTGTGAAAGGATTTTCTTCTATCGACATAAAAAGCGAGAGCCCTGCGGACGTCCAAGGAGTGTAGTCTGGATTGTCTACTGTCTGTATGTGGTTTCGGAAAAAAAGTAGGTAAGTATATAGACTGGTTAAGGTGAAACGATGAATGCACCTTAGGCAAAAGCTTAGGATGGGGTCTGAAGCTACTTCATCTTTAAAAAAGATCATATAGGGTGGATCCCTCATGAGAGCAGCTAGTTCTCCTGACTGCCTGGCCGATGTAATGACCACTAGAAACGCAACCTTCATAGAGAGGTGTAGTAAGGAGCTTGTAGCTATGGGCTCAAAAGGGGGCTCGGTGAGGGCATGGAGGACTAGGTTGAGGTCCCATGGAGGGGTGGGTTTTCTCACTTCCAGATAGGAGTTGGAGAGATCATTCAAGAAGAGTTTAGTGATGGGATGCATGAAAATAGAGAATCCGTCGACTTTATGATGAAATGTCATGATGGCCAGAAGGTTTACATGGATGGAACTCATGGAAAGTCCCGTTTATGTTCCAGTAGATAGCCTAAAATAAGAGGTAAGGAGGATGACACAGGTGCCGTCTTGTTTGCCTTGGCACCATGATTTGAATAGTTTCCACTTATGTCCGTAGGTGTGTTGGTTAGTTTCCCTACGGCTGTTTAATAATATCTTCTGAACTTCTGTGGAACGTGTCATTTCAGATCCCAAGAGCCATGTAGTAACCAGGCTTTGAGATGAAGTTTTTGGGGATCCGGATGGAGGATGCACCCTGCATCCTGTGACAGAAGTCGAGGCAGAAGCAGGAGCGTGCGTGGGGGCTAATAGGATCACTCTGGATCCATCTTGCTTTATCTTGTGAGTACACGGGCTAGGAGAGGGGTGGGAGGGAAAGGCGAACAGGTGAGGCGCGTTCCACTTGATGAGGAAGGCATTGCCCAGAGAGAGTGTTGACCAAGTCCTGCTCTGGAGGAGAACTGGGGGCATTTGGAATTGTGTGCAGTTGTGAAGAGGTCTATCTTTGGGAACCCCCACATCTAGAAAATATCTTGGATGACCCATGTGTTCAGCTCCCATTCGTGGTCTTAATAAAACTTCCTGCTCAGGGTATCTGATGTGTTGTTCTGGAAACCAGGTAGGTACGAAGCTATAACATGGACATTGTGTTTGATGCACCATGCCAAAGACGCATGGCTTCCGTACATAGGAAATGTGACTGTGCTCCTCCTTTTCTGTTTATGTAGAACATGGTGGCTACATTGTTGGTGAGGATCTGTACCGTTTTGTTTTGGATTAGTGGTAGGAAATGAGAACAGGCATTTTGAACCGCTTGGGAGTTACAGCACGTTGATATGAAGCTGGGACTCTGCTGGAGACCAGTGGGACTGTATAGAATGTGCCTGGAAATGTGCCCCCCCCCCCAGCCTAGGAAGGATGCATCCGTGGTGATGGTGAGCACTGGCAGATTCTGCAGAACCTGCACGCCCCTGCAGACACTGGCCAGATTGGTCCACCATAGGAGTCCTTGACTGCATTCGTCATAGAGAGGAATTTGTTTTTGCTGTGCTTGTGGGGAGCATAATTTGTCCATAACCAGGCTTGAAGGCACCGCATGTGTAGCCTTGCATGTTGGACGACGAAGGCGTGGCGGCCATGTAGCCTAGGAGTTGCAGGCAAGTTCTGGCAGACACCTGCGGGTTGTTCCGTACTGTTAAGTTTAAGGCGGTTAGAATCAGAAAGTGTTTTGTTGGAAGAGAGGCAGTTGCTTTGAGGGAGCTGAGGTCCACTCCAATGAATTCCAGGCCTTGGACAGGTGTTAGGATTTCAAATAAACTTACAAAAGTCCACCCTAAGGAGATAAAGAGGTGTATTGTACGTGGGTGGAACATATGGCTGTCTGCAGTACTGGTGCTTTCAGCAGGCTGTCATCCAAGTACAGGAATATCATTATTCCCTGTCTGCGTACACAGGCCACTACTACGGTGAGTACTTTGGAAAATACTCGCAGTGCAATGGAAAGGCCGAAGGGTAGAACTTTCTACTGAAAGTGATCCTGTGCTATTGTGAACCGCAGGAATTTCTGATGTGAGGGATGGATCGATATATGAAAATATGCGTCCTGTAGGTCGAAGGCTGAGAACAAGTCCCCCCTCTCTAATGCTGGGATTATGGTGCCTAGTATGACCAATTTGAATCTTTGTGTTTTTACAAACTTGTTGAGTCACTGTAAATCTCCATAGGTCCTCAACCTCCTGTTTTTTTCTGTCTGAGAAAGTAGTGGGAATAGAACCCCTTCCCTCTGTACTCGGTCGATACGGGTTCTACTGATCCCAGGGATATGAGATGGTTCACCTCTTTCCGCAGTAGATGGGATTCTTGAGCCCTCGACAAAGGCTTCAAATCTGTTGCCTAGAAATTGATGACTGAGAGGTAGTAGTCCAGGAAACGGATTGTCTTCTCCTCAAATTTTCTGTTTCCGCCCCTGTTGGTCGTAATACTTATTCCGTTGAGTATACTGAGGGGGTTGGAACCGTTGAGGAGTTTAGTAAGTGGTCTGCCGTCTCTCGTTCCTAGGTGCGTGGATGCCCAGAGACCGCAAGGTGGCCCTCGAGTCTTTCAGGGTATGCAATGACTCGTCTGTTTTGTACACACAGAGTTTGGCGCCTTCAAAGGGTAAGTCTTCTATGGTGGACTACACTGGCTCTGGGAAACCGGATAGATGAAGCCAGGAGGCTCTCCTCATAATGACGGCTGTTGCTATGGACCTTGCTGCGGAATCAGCGGAGTCAAGGGCAGGTTGGAGCGCGGTTCTGGTGGCAAGTTGGTCCTCTGTGACGAGTGCTTTGTATTGATTCTTTTTGTCTTCTGGTATAAAGTTGATAAATTCTGAGAGACTTGCATAATTATTGCGATTATATTTGGTCAGTAGGGCTTCACAGTTGGCACTTCTCAATTGTAATGTCGCAGCAGAGTATGCTTTACGACCGAACAGGTCGAGCCATTTCCAGTCGTTATCATACGGGGTGTTTCTATAGTATTGTTGTTTACCCCGTTCATTCACCGCGTAGATAACGAATGAATTTGGCGTTGGATGTGAGAAAAGGAATTCAGTGCCCTTGGCTGGCATGTAATACTTCTTATCAGACCTTTTACAGGTAGGTAGAATCAATGCTGGGGTTTGCCTGAGCAACTTCACAGGGTCCAGAATCGCATCATTCATGGGAAGGGCAACTTTGGATGAAGTGGATATGTGAAGTATGTTCACTAGATTGTGGCGAGATTCCTGGACCTCTTCCAGGGAGATATCTAGGGAAGTGGCCACTCTCTTGTAGAGATCCTGGAACTGCTTGAAATCGTCTGCTGTGGTGGGGCATAATTGTGTCATCCGGCAAGGAAGATGAAAATGTAATGTCAGTTAGTTCATAGGGGTCCGAGAATTGCTCCTTTTTTTGGGGCCCCTTGTTCGGAGACGGTAGAAGGTGCCTTTGATGCCAATATGGGTGGTTGAGGGCAGAGTGTTGGGTACTCCCTGTTGCTGCTGCTGTGGGTATGGAGTCCATGGCTGCCAGAATGGCCATTGTGGTTGGAAGGGCATGGTGGGCATCTATGGTTGGCCCAACCAGGGTTGGTTTGTAAAGTGTACAGAGAAGCCTATGCTTGGTGGGGTCTGTGTGGCAGGAGTAGTCACAGGAGAGGAAACCTCTGGCAAGTGTCCGATATCCTCCTCCCCACTAGAGAATTGCACTGAAAACTCTGGAGAGCTGGGTTGGCTTAGTACCATGTGTACCGTGGTACCTTTGGTGCCAAGGAGACTGTGGTACCAATGAGACAGATAAGTCTGTGGGACACAGGAACTGCTGTGACGTGTCTGATCTCGGTGGGATGGTGGAGCTCTGTACCGTATGCTGGAATGAGCTTATCCGTGCTGGTGTGTGGCTGGCGTGCATAGTACCAGCAGTAGGTGGCAGCATTAGCGCAGGAATGCTCAGTACTGATGGCTTGCTTGCTGTTGTTGGTGCAGTGGCATGGGGTTTCACTTTCCCCTTAACGCCTGTGGCGGAGCGCAACTGCTTTGGAGCTCTGGGTTTCTTAGTACCATTGGGACATGGTCTGTCTGCAGTTGATATGGCCGGTGCAGTCGGTACCAGGAGCATCTGGCCACTATTGGAGCACCTCCTCTTGGCCGACTCCGGATTCGGGGACGTGATGCCCCGTTTCTTTGCTGCCTTCTTGGCAGGTTGTTCAGGATCTTTTCCCCTGAAAGAAGGGTCTTTGTCCGAGGCGGTAGTCGGCGATTTCTGTCTGGGAGGCGTTCGTAACTCAGGCTCAGTAACCGGGCGAAGAGATTTCTCCATAAGGAGAAAGCTTTAGCTGTAAATCCCTTGCCTTTCTCGTGCAGCCTTTCAAGTTTAGACAGTGCGAGCACTTTCGCGGTGTACGTCCCTCACCGAGACAGCAGATGCATTGAGAGTGTCCATCCGAGAGGTGTATTGAAAGCTGGCAGGTAGTGCCAGGCATACCCTGAGGAAGCTTATTCTCTCAGTGATGCAGAGAGATAAAAAGTATAGTGCCGCTGTGATCAGGAAGACTGGAAAATTTATGGTCCTAAGAGGAAAATTTTTTTATTTTTTTAAAAAGGACGGAGATAAGATAGGAAAGGGGGAAAAAAGTCTATTGTATTCTAACTGAGAACTATGAACTATTGCTAAAGGGACAGGAAAAATAATTATTTCTAGCTGTGAGGCGCTGCTGAGTGCTCCGACGTCGGGAGAGAAGGAACTGGGGGGAGAAAATGGGGGGTTGGTCGTACAGTGCCAGTTAACCGCCTGAAGCAGCGCGAGATGGGGATTGTGCATGTGCGGCCCAACCGGGGCACTGCTACCATAAATCTCCGGCCAGAAGCACAGGGGCGCAACAACACCTAAAGTCAACACCCATGGGGACACCACTCGAAGAACTGATTATTAGCACAAGTGGATGGTTTAAGAACCTAGAACTCTGCTGGAGATGCAACTTCGCCCAGTGCGCATAATACATAGTAATATCTACTAGGTGTGCAAAGCTTTCTGTTTCAAAGGATTCAAGTACCATGAAGGGCAAACATTAAGGAGTGGCTTGTAACGGTGAATACCTTTGCAAACTGTGGTGGGAGAAGGCTACCTACTCAGTGAATAGGATGGCATGGGATGTTAATTCTCAGAAAATGACCACTTGCTTAGGAATTCCTAACAAAAACCTTCTTTAGAAACTACTAGGAAGACCGCTGTACCTCTTAACTAGGGTTTCTGTTTTTAATGTTTACCCTATCCAAATTAACACACATATTTATTATTTAAAACTGAATAAAGTATTTTTCTTAAATTAGTTTATGGTAAAAAACAGTTCAGCTGAGAATTGCAGCAGGATATGGAATTAGAAGCTGAACAACATAACTTCCTAGTAAGATGCACCCTTTTCTGGGTTCACCCCATTTTTCTTCCTGCTAACAATTCCCACAACTTCCTTTTTACCAAAAAGTTGGTCATAGGCAAATTTGTGAAGTTTGATTTTTTTAGTTTTTCTCTGGACACCAGTTCCTAAACTTTGTTTCAGCGCTCAAAAGAATAAAAAGATCTAAGTCTGTTCAACACTCAGCTGGTTCGCAGCTCCAGGCAATACTGATTTAAATACATTTTATTGTGTTGTACATTTTGCATCAGTTTGAGGTCTTGCTGCTCCAAAGATCACCTCCATGGCTCCCTAAAGAGAAGTCTGTGCCCATTCTTAATGAAGGTGAAAACATTTTCAGTCTCCAATTTTCTATTAGCCCTCGTTTTATTTATTTAAAGAAATGCTAGCGTGTGAAACAGTGCACTCACAGTATCAACATAAAAACTAAAATATAGATGGTAGAGTAAGACACTATACAAATGTATTTGCTTATAATTAAGAAGTGAAGTTTACCCAGAAGCTTTGTTTTTTTGGAGAGACAATCACTTTTATTACTGGCTTAAGTGTAATAACTTTCCAAGTTCCTGTTTGGATTGAACAATTTTGAGTTTTACACAAATATTAAAAATTTAATTATATTTATGCCTATTTAACACAGTTAATAGCATGAAGTTAACTAAGGCTTTAAGTTGTCCTTACCTCTGGAAGTGATGGCTATAGAGCTGCGTGGGAATCCCCAGGATACGATCATATATAGCTGTAACTTCTCGTAGGTTGCCCTGTTCATTTTCCCAATTTATATACATTTCCCATAGTCTGTCAGAGCGGAAATCTGTCCCTGCAGCTAAGACTGCATGTTCATAGGCTCTGAAAAAATGAAAAAATGTTTAACAGCCATTTCTGAACGTAGTACCTCAACTATTCAAGGAGCAAGAAGAATGAGGTGGATTTGTTTTGTAAGAGCCTCTGCATGTTCTATTTAGCTTTTACTGCATTCTTTTGGGGATTCAAACAATGCATGTTACCAAATATGTTCTCTAGATATATGATAAATACAAGACCTTTTTAATAAGCAGCTCTACAGTGATTTTTCCTAATATTTTCACAATAAAAGGAATAAGAGCAACATAAAAATAAGCCATAAACAAGAAATCAAACCACTAAAACCCACGAGGAGTTTCTCGCTAAGAGCCTATTCCCAAGGCTCTGAGGAGTGAATGGAACTATTTATCAGACAAAAATAAAGAGACATCAATACAGCTGGATGCTACTTCAGCTTTGCTCTCATGGCTAAAGATTTTACTTTTTCATGTAGCTACATATCATTTACAACTGCGTTCATGTGTTTCTCCCCCCCCCCCCTTTTTTTTTTAAACACAAACAACTTACCCTCTTACGGTATTATTAGTTTCAGGGTCAACAGGATCCAGTGTCTCTTTTAAGAAGTTTATATAATGTATCCAAAGATCAACACTAAGAGGTATTGCCTGTAGCCCTCTCCGATACACCTATGAAGAGAACAACATAAACTGTACTTCAAATATTTAATAGCGTCCTAAGAGAGAGGCAACACTGTGTTATCCGGTGAACCTTAGAAATACTAATTACTGGAATTTTGTTTAAATAATCTACCATTACCATTTGGGTGGAGGTTGGATAGAACATGGCAATGTTCTGATCTCCACGTGCAGAGTCTTGATCTTCAAAGCGCAGCGGTCCCTGCATTCTGACCAGGTTGTGTGGGCAGGCTTTGGGGTACAGACCATAGGGCACAGACCCATTAGAGCATCATTGACAGCGTCTGACCAAAAATGCAATAAGATGTAGCAATTGTGACCAGCAAACCAACTATATTGTTTTGAAAATGAGAAATAAATGTAAGTGACAGAAAAGCCCTGCCCTACTTGTTAAGCTGCAGTGTAATACAGAGGCTTGCACTGCAAAGCTTGACAAACTGTAGAGGTTTAACGCACCTGCCAACAAAGAGAGAAAATATTAGCTACAAATGCCACAAAAAAAGTGACAAATGCAAACAAAATCCCTACAAATCTGACCATATATGGTGGGTACTGGCAGCCAAAATGACTTGCAGTGGTTTAGTCATCATTTGGCTTACAGGACCAAATGGCGATAGCTATATCCAGCTACCAACGTACCTCATCAGACTGTTTAACGTTGTCATGTCGCTTTTCAAGGTCTGCATACTTTTTCCAATATCCATAACAATATGGATAATGTGTGAAAAATCTGTCAAATGCTTTCCTGGCAGCCAGCAAGTGGTTCTGTAAGAAACATACAACAGAACTGTAACTTACAGTTCTTAAGAGAAAGTTTCAAATAACTAGAGAAGAGCATGAATTCTTACATGGAGGGCACCATTCCAATTCAAACACAGAAAGTCACGTCATAATATCAGGTGCTTTTCCGTAGTTTTATAAATAACTTTGAATATATGTGAGCACAAATAATTATAACACTAAGACCTAAGCTAACTTAAGTTACAGGTCTACAAAGTTGCAAGCAGACACAGCTTAAGTATTCCCACACTACTCTGCTAGCATCTTCAGTCAGAACCTGCTTCTTTCCACCTCAGCCACTGCACTTGATTCTTTAGACAGACCAGTGGGCCTCAAACTTTTTTACTGGCGACCCCTTTCACATCACAAGCCTCTAAGTGCGACCCCCCCACCCCAACAAATTAAACACCCTTTTTAATATATTTAACACTATTATAAATGCTGGAAGCAAGTAGGGTTTGGGGTGGAGGTTGACAGCTTGCAACCCCCCATGTAATTACCTTGCAACCCCCTGAGGAGTCCCGACCCCCAGTTTGAGAACCCCTGCTTTAGACAGATGTTCCAAACCTAGGGTGACCAGATGTCCCGATTTTATAGAGACAGTCCCGATTTTTGGGTCTTTTTTCTTATATAAGTTCCTATAACCCCCCCCCACCCCACCCCAATTTCTCACATTTGCTGTCTGGGCAACCTATCCAAACCTCAACTAGCTGTCAGCAGGGCTCCAAGTTTTCAGTGATTCTATAGACATCAATGTAACTCAGCAAGCCATGGAAACAAAAATGTCACACAAAACTAGGCTAGCATTTGAACTTTTAAAAACAGACTTTGAGAAAAAGCCATGATCTGTTAGCATCTGCATTACAAGCTGTGTCAGTAGTAACACTTAGAAGGTGTAAATCATTATTTGAGTGCTAAGTGCTGGACAAGCAATATTCATCTACTAGCTTGATTGTAATGCAAGTAAGAGGAATGTACCTTTGTAGCTAGGTAGCGCTGCTCTTTAAAAGGATTTTACAAGACATAACACTATTTTAAAAAATCTAATTAGAAAGTTTCACAATATTAGTGCTCTCAAGACTTACTCATTTTTATTTTTTCCTCTCAACTAGTTGATGACATGGCACAATCACAACTGGCCAGAAAAATTGGCCAGAACTGCAGTGTCCCCATGCTCTGATTGTCCCTAACCTGTGACTGCAGAAGTCAGGGCTGGATCACTCAATAATTGCCCTGTTCTGTTCATTCCTTCTGAAGCATCTGGCCCTACCCACTGTCAAGAGATGTGCTAGATGGACCACTGGTCCAACCCAATATGGCTATTCTTATGTCCCCTTTTTAAGTGACTAGAATTCTACATGCATAAAGCACAGAGATTTGAGAACTGAAGTCAGAGCTTGTACCCTTAAGAACAAACATGGCCCAGTAGAAATCCAGAAGCACTGTCCTGAAACAATACCTGCTAGGGACTGAAATACAACTTTAAATTCAAGACTGGAATCAGAGGACAATGCGTTAATTCATCCTTCTATGCATTTTGGGAAAAAGGATGTACTCACCTCCTGCTCTACGTACTGCAGCAGATATACCCAACCTGTGAAATCCTGGGAATTCTCCTCTACTACTTTCCAGAACTTCTCATATTCAGGAGGGAAATGAGCCTCAACATCAGTCGTGTGTAAACTTTGAATATTTGGTATTCCACTCTCTTGTGTGGTCTCCTCATTTACATCAGGAGAGCTATCAGGGGACTGTTCCATCTCTGTGACACTCATAATCTCTGTACTGAAGTCCGTAAGCTGCTCTCCTGTAAAGTTCGTATGCTGCTCTCCTGCTGCGACAGTGCTGTTGACTGTGTTGTCATTACTTAGGTTACAGTCATCCTCTGTATGATCTGAGTTCTGCATAGCTGCTGTTAATGTTGTTCTGTTGAATGATATCCTGTGGAAATACAGATTAAAGGTTACTATCTTCCAGATGCCAGTACAATTTAGCTGTCAATTTTTAAATTGTCCTACTTGGTGTAGCAAAACATTTCAGGTAATTCAACTGAACTACAGGAAGAACGTAATTTTAAAAGATGTATACTCCATTCCATTTGACTGTAAAAACATATCCTCGTTTAAAAGTAAAACATTATTAAATAACCAATAAACTGGCATGTTGTCTCTGATGAAATGAAAAGGATTGCTCGGCAGCTCCCTGCACGTAAAAGAGCTGGTAATTGTGTTCTCAGGTGCATCCAGTATTTTTTAAATTAACTGGATTTAATATGAATCTTCTGTACTGCTATGTAAAACCAAAGAAGAAAGTTCACAGAAGCCTGCCAGAGACAAAAAGGATTTTAACCAACAATCAAATAATCTCTAGCTGTGCAACATGACTGGCCATGGATTAATCCAAGTTAGATAAATAATTATACTTGAATGAAGGAAGTGTCATAGCGATGTTGGTCACAGTACTACCTCACCTATCTTTTATTGGACAAACTTCTGTTAGTGAGGGACAAGTTTTCAAGTTTACACAGAGCTAACCTGAAGAAGAGCTCTGTGTAAGCTCGAAAGATTTTTCTCACCAACAGAAGTTAGTCCAATAAAAGATATTACCTTACCCACCTTATCTCTCTAGTTATACTTGAACAGTTTACTTTCAACCATCTGAGAAAGCATCCTAAGTGCCTCACACATTCATCTGCTTTGTCGCAAACTTAGACTTTCCACACTCACTAGCACCATTCATATTTACAGAAACACTGACAGTGATGGGCATTTCTAGATTTTTGGGGAGAGTCAGATGCAAAATCTTTTGTAAATGTCCCATGTAGCTATCCAGGTATTAGAACCAACCACTGCAATTTCCTTGTAAGAGGTCGAGGTATTTTACCCTGTCTAAAATATCTGTTTATGTCAATTTACTACTGCTAGTTAATACAGAATACTACATTCCAGTTACACCCCAAAGTATATCATCAACTGTAACTTCTAGATGAATTGGCTCAAACTATGATTTCACCAAGAAAAAAATTGCCACCATCAGCAACACGGTCCGTCAGGATTCAAGATGGCTAAACAGGATAAAAAAACATAGGGTCGCAAAAAAGATTCGGTCCAGACCCTGCCACAAAGACTTTCTTCCAGGCAAAAGTCACAAGACAGAAGCTTCTCCCTAGTCCTCCAGAAGGGATTCATCCATCCTCCCACTCTGCATCCTTGACATTCCTGCCAAGTGAAGCAGCCCAAACCAACAGACACTTGCCTAGCACAACTCAGCGGCATGCTGCATCATTGCTCGCTGTTCTGTCTCTGCTGCATCCAAGCCCCTTACAAGTGAGGTCTAGATCTCAAGGATCCTGCATTTATCTTTCTCTGAACTCAATGGGAGAGCAGTCCAAAGTCAGAAGAACCCAATCAGCTCCCTAGTAATAATGGATTTTATCACTACAGTGTCATAGATTCCAAGGCCAGGAGGGACCATTGCGATCATCTAGTCTGACCTCCTGTATAATACAGGCCAGAGAACTGTCCCAAAATAATTCCTAGAGCAGTTTTTAGAAAAAGTCCAATCTTGATTTAAAAATTCAGAGTGATGGAGAATCCACCTCAACGCTTGGTAAATTGTTTCTTAATTACTTTCACCATTAAGAATGTATGCCTTTGTCTAGCTTCAACTTCAGACATTAGATTGTTATACCTTTCTCTGCTAGATTGAAAAACCCATTATTAAATGTGTTTCCCATTTACAGACTTACAGATTAATCAAGTCACCCTTTAACCTTCTCTTTGTAAGCCTAAACAGATTGCGCTCCTTGAGTCAATCACGATAAGGCATCTTTCCTAAACCTTCCATCATTATTATTAATAGAATGGGGCTCTTCTCTGAACCCTCTCCAATTTATCAACATCCTTGTTGAACAGTGGGCACCAGAACTTCATTATATACCATTCCCCCACTTTTTGTGTCTTCTGAGAACTTTCAGTGATGGTTTTATGTTTTCTTCCAGCTCACTGATAAAAATGTTAAACAGCCATGGGGTCAAGATCTGATCCTTTCAGGACCCCACTGGAAACACGCCCCACTCAAGGACTGTTCCCCCGTTCAATTAAAGCAGATGCATTTTCTCCTATGCTACCTCATCCTCAACAAGAATTGCATAACTAATATGGCTCTCGTCTAAGATAGGACTCCAGATATTGTCCAGGCTCAGTTTTCTATACCTATCTTTTCAGTCTGAGGGACCTTTCCTTCCTTCACATTCACAGTCCCTGCCCAATCCTTCAAAGCGGCTGTGGATTTTATACCAGCCTGATGGTAACAAACATGACTCCAAAACCTGCAATTGGGGGTGATGCTCCGACTTCCTAGGTCCAAAGCATTGGGGGAGGGTGGGGGGTGAAATCGGTCTACAAATTTTAACTGAGGGCTTGTCTATACATACAGCACTGTCGCTGTGCCGCTGTAGCGTTTAGTGAAGATGCTACCTATGCCAACGGGAGAGACTCTCCCATCGGCGTAGGTACTCCACTTCCCCAAGAGTCAGTAGCTATGTCGACAGGAGAAGCCCTCCTGTCAACATAAAGCTGTCCACACCAGGCGCTCGGTTAATATACCCGCATCACTCAGGGGTGTGGATTTCCACACCCCTGAGCAACACAGTTATAGTGACATAAGTCTGTAGTGTAGACCAACCCTGAGTTTGTAACCAGGCTATAACAAAAATTAACACGTTGTTCCTAACACTGCAGCTATACTATGTTTCCAACCGATTTATCAGCAAGGGAGTACCAACTGCATAGGTAACCAGGTTCTAGATAGGACTGTCAACCACATACATACAACTGGGCGGCAAGTCCTACCACCTCTCAGGTCCTTTCTGTGAGAAAATATTCCAGTCATCCTCTGCACATTCAAAATGAAATCTAAAACCCACTTCTTGAACGTAGAATTCCTGTGACTGGGGAGGGAGAAACAAAAATCTGTGTGTTCAATAAGTAAATGCTCAGATACCATGTTGAGAAGTACAGGAGAAAAAGCCTAGACAAAAAGCATACTGCACCAGTGGAGAAACACTGAGTCCCGTGTCCCCAGCACCAGCAGCTGAGACTGTGTGAGACAGCTGCCCAAATTTCCCAGAAAGCATCAACACAAATCCAACTGTGCCAAGTAGTGTGAAAAGGCAGACATGGTTGATACATGGCATACCAGAAAAGGACTGCTTTTTGGATTCTCTGAACAGTGTTCCATGGAACTGTCAAATGAGTATGTCTAAACCTGACCACACTTACAATGATTCTGTCTATGGTGAATATAAGCAAATGTCTGCCATGTATACATCACTGCATTACTGACTGGGCCAGATAGTCAGCCACAATACTTACGATTGTTAGTATAAGATAACTGTATTTTTCATTTTAAAGCTCCTTGTTTCTCTTGCCTGTATAAGACTGCATGTATCCTTCACCTTGTGTATTTTGTCTACATGAGTTAGCATGTCAGTAAGTTTTAAAAGGAGTGAAATTATCTCTGGGAGGGACTACCATACAGTCGTGTAGTAGAGACAGTTAACAGCATGGAGCTGACAGCTTTTTTTCATAAGACTCTAGAAAAACATTTCAGCCCTTATCCTCCACGCCCCTTTCAAAAGGCCTGTATTTTAAGCTGAGGTCACAGGAATCACACTCAGGTGGTTAGAGGCCAAGCTCTTTCTGCCCTTGCCATAGACCATGCTGGAGAACTGCAAATTACAGACACGCAGGCTGAATGAATTGATAGCCATGCTTTTGTGTCCTCCCTGGAAAAAACCTTGATACCAGAAGCATCAAGCAAAGGCCCAGCTAGGCTGCACTTTTGGGCAAGAGTGCGGGAGAAAAGCACTGTGTTCATGTAAACTCTCAGTCAGTCCTCAGTTTCTGAGAAAAGAGCCTTTGAGTCAAACTGCACCCCAAAAGGGAGAGTAAGATCCCCAAAGAAGACTGCAATAAAAGGCACTTGGCACAGGCAGGAAGTGGCTGCTTTACAAACCAGAAGTGAACTGGAATTCACAGAGGTACCAGGTGTATCATGTCAGCAAGCGTTGCCACAGAAAAAAGATTAGTAACCATATCTGGAGAAGAGGAAATTGATGAATATGCTGTAGTGAGGGACAGAGCAGTAGATTCTGTTTGAGAAATATGATAATATATTGTGTTGCAGAATTGATATATGCTAATGTAATTAAAGCCTATTGCACATATACACGCAGGCAGCTATTGCAATGCATAGTTAAGAATGCAAAAGTTGGAAACTGTTTTATCTGTGCAACCCCAATATTTTATTAACATTGGGGATGAAGGTGTCACATCAACGGGGGGGGAGGGGGGGTTGTCTTGTTTCAGAAAAACTTAGAAAAAAGGATTAATTCCACAAAATGTTAAAGCTTTGTTGACTCGCAACAAATGGTCAATAACGCATGTAAATTCCCTAATACATAATTATATGGCTATACACTGTTAGAATGCCATGTCCCACCACCCCTAAGAGATCCACTGGACGAAGTCCCTCTCCCGCAAACGTAAGGAACTTTAACTACAACTAGTGCCATCCCATGCACCTTATATATTGTGCCACTACCCTCCCTAAGGATCCTCAATATCCCAACAAGGTCCACGGGGACTGAGCCAACAGTTCCTATGTAGCCCTATTCTCAGTCCTCAATATGCTTTTCACCATGAAGCTAAGCTCACCATGCATGCATGCACAATGAAGCCTTTTACATGCATATTTTACAAAACAGCTAAAAGTTCACACAAGGTGTATTGCATGTGATCGTCAAAGATTCATAACTCAATCAATTCTCTTCAGAACAAAGGCATTTCCAAGTAAGGATGGTAACTCCATGATAAGTTTCACTTTCAACTCGCTTTCAGGGTATTTCAAGCTGTAGAATGTCCACAATAGTTCACACATGGGTTGGGGTTTTGGGTGGTTTTTTTTTGGGGGGGGGGGGTGGTGGAGGGTTGTTTTGTTTATTTTGAAATTGGAAAAGTATTTTTTAACTCTCCCCATAATCAAAAGTGACTACACCATTTTTGCCTAAACAAGGAAAAACAAGGGGTAAACTGCAACGTGAGCACGCTTAACTGTAGTGGTCATTCCCTCTCTTTCTGCAGTGTTGCAAACCAGCTTGCTGGTTAGGGGTTATTAGTAAGGGTACTCAGGATTACCACCTTATTTACATAATGGTCTAGGAAAGCATTACTTCAGTAACATCTTCCAAATGGCTTGAAATACACATGCTATTTGTAAAATTCTCAATCATAAGGGTTCCTGGCATCAGAAAGAGCACATATTGTAATGTAAAAAACCTTTGAGAAAAATGCAGCATTTGTATGATAGAAATAGCTCTATAAAATTGCATTACTACACTGCACAGCATACTATACCATATCTATTACAGTATAAGACTTCTGTAGAAGATGGTCAATCTATTAAGAGACTGATCACTAAGTTTCCATTTTGCCAATATATAGCATTCTCGAGTGATTTAGCAATTTCAACTGCAATTATATGAACTTCAGTTTTAAAAATTAGTAGTAGTGAACTAAGCCATCATATTCTTTTATAAGTGCTTAAAATCTACTTACCATTTTATTTTTAACTTGCAAAATGAGAGTAGACAAGTGCCGAGGCGGAGCAGTGGCTTACCAGCAGAGCAGGAGCTCAAGTTTTGGTAGTGGGAGATCAACCTCTCTGTGAAGCTCACGGAGAGGGAGAGGAAGCCAATAAATATATGGAGCATAGAGATTCTCCTCTTGTTTTTGGTGATGAGATTCACTACTGTGCACCATTTGAGCTGATATATGGCTTCATCACCACCAGAACAGCTCAAACAACTCATCAGAACTTGGCTTGGAGTAATTAATATCCACAGTGTCCAATATATTTTAGAGTAAAACTTATTCTTTGAAATTACACAGCAATTAGACTATTACACTGTAGTTTTCCTTTAAAACGTTTAACATAATCTGTGCTGCTGCATTAGAACACTAACATCCTATAATATATACATTCTGGAAGCAGATTTCTTTTGGTGAGTTCCAGAGATGTGCCTTTTCTTCACACATGGTCCCCATGCTTCTGTAGCTATGTGGTACCAGTTACTACTGAGAAGCTGCTGACTTTGGGACTAAAAAGGCCATTTTGAGAGAAATAAAACTCACTTGCAAAATCAATAATTTTATTAATCTTTAAAATGATCTCATTCATGAATTTTTAAAGAATCTCCACTGTATCTAATATTACCCTGCAAGAATGCAAATACAGTCTCTGTAGTAATTATTTCTTCTTCCATACAGTGACATTTTCCCTTTGTTTAAGGAGAAAAATTGTTTAACAATACTATCAAGAATGTCAAAAAGCTACACAAATAGAATTTGTTGATGAAGTGAAAAATTACTGCACATTCTGCTATAGAGTGGACTAAAACACACAGTAGGTCCTACATAATATCACCTATTAAAAGTTTATCTGGGATTAATTCCACCTCAACACACACACAAAGGTATTTAGTGTATGCAGAATACTCATAATATTGCTTAGGTCTCTTGAAAATATCCATTCAGTACTGAGATCAATTGAAAAATATCACTGCAAATCAAAGTGGAATTTCAAGGGGAAGTTGAATGTTTGACCATTCCTTTCCAACAAGTAATGAAGTAGTAACACGCTGAACTGTCAGTACAGTACAGACTGTATTGTTAAATGGAAATAGAGGTTACCAGTGGGAGCTTGAATAGACAATCTTAACAAACTCAAAAAATAATTTGTTTGGTAAGTGGTTAGAAGAGTGCAGTTTATAACAGGAGTGGCCAAACTGCAGCTCCTGAGCCACATGCGACTGGAAGAGCCCTCCCCGCCTCCCCATTCTCCAGGTGGGGGGGCGGGGGCACAAGGGGGGTGGCGAGGGCAAGCTCCAGATCTCTGCCTTGCAGCAGAGTGGTGGGAAGGGGCGGGGGTCTTGAGGCTTCAGCCTGCGGGGCACACCTGCCAGGGCTTGGACTTCTGCAGGAACAGAGCCCCGACAGGTGCCTCCAGGGGGGCAGAAGCCCTGAGCCCCGGCAGGCCCATCCCAGCTCTCCAACTTGTGAGGATTGTCCTCTGCGGCTCAGAGAATCAGCACGTTTGGCTAACCCCTACCGCGTTCCCCAGCCACCCCCCCGCCCTCCTCAATTCCCCCCCGTTCCCCAGGCACCCCCTCGCTACCCCCCCGTTCCCCAGCCCTCCTCAATTCCCCCCCGTTCCCCAGGCACCTCGCTATCCCCCCGTTCCCCAGCCCTCCTCAATTCCCCCCCGTTCCCCAGGCACCTCCTCATTACCCCCCGCTTCCCC